GTTTGTGTGAGTTAAGGCAACAGGAAGGCTGGGTCAGGGGCAGTGCTGACAACAGCTCTTGCAAATCCCACTCAAAAGTCTGTTTTTAAAAGGAGACAGCTGCTACCAGCTGCAAAATGAGACCTAGATGGTGGCCAAGTAACAGAGGACATCGCTGCCTCTGTGGCAACACGCCAAAATCATCAGGCTGCTTTTAGCTGCAAACAGCAGAGACAGCGGGAGCAGATCTGCCAAGTGAAACCATACCCAGCAGCAACACAGCAGCTTTCCAGGGGGCCCTTCCAACTCCAGCTGGGTCCCAAAGACCCAAACTTCATTAGCTGCCCAAGGAAAAACTTTCCTGTGAGGGTGCTGGAGCCCTGGGACAGGCTGCCCAGAGAGGTGTGGAGTCTCCATCTCTGGAGATGTTCAAACCCACCTGGAAACTTTCCTGTGCAACCTGGTGTAGGCCTGATGTAAGGAACCTGCTTTGGCAGGGGGGGTTGGACTGGATGATCTCCTGAGGTCCCTTCCAACCCCACCATTCTGTGATTCTGTGTGTGACAGTATCCCATTTAAATTGTACCCAGTACAAATCCAATGAGCACACTCCAAAACCACTCAGGGATGTGAAGTAGAGCACGTCAAGTACAGGTGACTTGGGAGATTTGCACATCGATCTGACCTAACAAAGTAGCTGCACCTTGTCACATCTCCCTTCTGGGAGCCCCTGAAGAAAGGAAGAGCAGCCAGACATAACCAAAGCAGAGGTGGTACACGATGGAGAGGACCATCCCAGGTCAGATGAGATAGATAGCACACTGCTTGGAAAGCCTTTCGGGCAAGGGCCAGCATTTGCTGTGCCACAGTTTGGACAATGCCATGAACCAAACTGCTGGAGGAGCCTGAATGACTCAGTGGTGCTGGTCAAGTTGCAGTTGATTCCAAAAGCTCTTCACTCAGAGGTCTTATCAAATGTGCTCATCTCTCCTTACACATACCCTGCCCTTGTTGTAATAAGGGCCACACCCACGTAAGTATAATGGGCAGCGCTGATGGCAAGAACCAGCACATGACTGGGAAGGAGGGGAGGAAAGAACTGAGCAGATGAACTCCCTCCTGGGAAAGCTGCAGAGCTCAACCCAGCTCCCTCATCTCCCAAATGCTTCAGAAAAGAAGACCCTAGCTGCATCTGCTGTTCAGCAGCATTCTTTCTTCCAAGGCATTAACGTAGTTTCCTGTTGTCCCACTGGAAAACAGGCAAGAGAGAGGAAGGAACAGGTCCCATCTCCAGCGTGTTCCTGATGGCACAGCACAGGGGACCTTGGAGAGATAAACCAGCCACGAGTTTAACATGATCTTAAGCAGCAGTCTGAGTTACAGCAGTTATGCAGAGACCATACCTGCACCAGGAACAGCAGGGTTAGTTAAATCAGCTTCTACACAGTGGGAAATTTCCACATAATAACTCAGTCAGCAAGGGAGGGAGCGTAAGGGTGTACTTAAAGTGATCTCCTCTTCAGGAAAGCAACTGCTGCCCTGGAACTCTTCCCACCAGTTATCAACCCTGGAGTCCAACTGCTTTTTTTTTTTTTTTTTTTAAATTTCTGATGCAAGTATGTCCCTTAGGAGAAAGGTGGGACTTTCCTCCACCTTAAATGCTTATGTAGCTGGTAGTCCTCAGTTTCTGTATTTCAACTCTGTTGACAACAGCTCAGTGGTAAAACAAGCTGATTCATGTTCTTTGTCATCACAACATCCACACGTTTACCTGATACAGCTGAACTGGTTAGACTGTGTGCGTGCTCCCACCTCCTCCCTAACCCTCTATGCCAGATCTGCTCTCCAACCTCCTCCCTTGCAGTCATTTTGGCATCAACTTGACCACAAAAACCAGGCAGTAGAGTCCACTAGTTCCAGGAGGAAATTATCCTGCAAGATGTTACATTTCCATGCAATTAGTCAATGTCATCATCTCCCTACATGGTTTAACGGAGTTAATGTGAAGGAGGGTGCGGGAACACGCAGCCAAGGCAGGGAAAGGGGATGATCAGTGCTCCAGAGACAACAAGCAGCTGCTAAAGACACACAGTCACTTGTTCAGAGCAGCCAACAGAAGCACGAGCTCTGCTCACTACCAGCTTTTAAGCAAAACTGATTTCATATTAGGAATTTTTTCTTTCCTGTGAGGGTGGTCAGACACTGGCCCAGGTTGCCCAGAGAAGCTGTGGCTGCTCCTCCCTGGAAGTGTTGAAGGCCAGGTTGGATGAGGCTTTGAGCAACCTGGTCTAGTGGAAGGTGTCCCTGCTGCTGGCAGGGGGGGTGGAACTGGATGAGCTTTAAGGTCCCTTCCAACCCAAACCAGTCTGTGATTCTATGATTGTCATGCAATACTGAGAGGAAGGAAGCAGCACTGCTCCTTGAAAAGGACGTTATTCCATCATCCTGTGCCTCCAGGATTCCCTCCAGAGCCAAGTTTAACCTCATGGCACTGATGTAACAGAACAGACTTTATTGCTCAGCCAAATGGACCTGGATGAAAAGGTCTGGCACAGGTCACTGCCAGAAAACATACACAGAGGGACCAGAGAGCTACAGGCAACCCCCGTGTAAGGATGCAGCCAAAAAGCTTGTCAGGGTAACCCTGCTACTTAAAGCAGAG